TCGGCTCCCGTGGCAATCAATTTTCTCGTCGCTAAGCAATCGTGAGATGTTTTCCAAGGAAGATCTGGGCGACATATAGGTCTGAATACCAGTGGGTCACTCAAGCTGGGAGGAAATCGCAGCTACAGACAATAGGTTCAGGATGTCAGGGAACTCGTTTTCGCGGAAGGGAAGTATTCGTTGCATATTCAATAGGTCTTTCCAGGAAATAAGCTGCTTAGGACTTGATCGTCATGTGTCTTCGAAGAATATGCCGACGGCTTCACTATCACGTCTCCGACTTCTTTTCACGGCCCACCATCATGAGGTATCCCTCCAGTGCTGTATACGGCCCACGGTCAAATCTGGCCCGCTCGTCCTCAGCTGCCACCGGCAAGGCCATGTATCTTTCGAGCGCTTCAATCGGAGCTGGCGACGCCACGGGACCATCACTGGCTCTTCCACCATTGTCCTCGGCCGAAGGGTGTTTGGCTTCCCCTGGGTAATACGGCTGCAGCCATGCCCAGTCGCCGCCCGCCACAGCCGGAAGTCCCACAGCTCCCTCCTCGTGCTTCACGTCGGGCAAAGTGACAGCAACATCTGGCGCAAGCTCAAGATCGTCGACAAAGTTTGGAACGTCTTTCGTGACAATGATGGGGCCAGCGTGGAAGAAGGCTTTCATCCTCGCGAGGGCACCCTGCCAGGTCCACGGCGGCAACGACAGTTCACGCACGGGCAAGATCCCCGAGTATACGTGGAGCGGTACAAACGGATCCGTGAGTGCTCCAAAGACTTTGAGTCGCGCGTTGTGTCGACGTCCATACTCTTCGGCATCTACCACGTTGCGCGGCTCAGGACTTTCGTAGTATGCATTAAGATGCACAAGCTTTGAATGTGCGACAGGCGGGAGGTGATCAGGATCTTCTTTCACCTCGTTTCCGCCAGGCGCGAAGTCTGAACGGATACTCTTGAGCTCGAGCCCAAGGTCTTTAGTATCCTCTGAAGAGAGGCTCTCGCGGCACTCAAAGTAACCCACGAGACCATCGAACCCACGCTGCCTGTCACCAATCTTGACGCCAAATGAGTACTGTTCCTTGCCTGTGCCCGGTAACAACCCATGGGGCGGCTTCCTCGGCCGAGTCTTAGGATTTCCATCCTCATCTCCCTGCTCGCCATCAGCCTGGCTCGCGAGGGCATCAGCTGCCAGTTCCAGTGACCATCCGGCATTGACGAGAGCCAGCGGACGCCCTATTAGCGCACTCGCAAACTCGGCGTAAGCCTCAGGGGCAGCAGCGGCATCCATTTCAGACGTGGACGTCTCGATCATGGTCCAGAAGGCGTGGAGAAAGTTGGGATCGCCCCCGAGCCGTTGCACGAGCAGCTGGAGCTGCTGCATTTCTGGGTTTTCGGGCAGACGGTCGCCGGCTTTAGGTGGCCGGAAGGGCAACCATTCAGGCGAGGTCTGGGCCCCCGATGGTCCCGCGAGTCGAACCTCCCGGTAGAAGGTGCCGTCCGGGAGGAATAGCTGGATGCCTGTGTTGGCGTAATTGATGACCACCCAGCCCCAAATGGGATTCTCCCACTCGTCTGCTGGGCGCCAGAAAGGTGTTGAAACTTTTGAGGAGGGCAGGAGCCTGCCGTTCTGTGTGCTAATACCTTCAGTGCCGTCGGCATCGTCAGTCTTGTCAGCTCGCACAACAAAAGTTGCGTTTAGGCGGGCTTGTTGATTAATCTGAGGCGGAAGCTGCATGAACTCGCATGGTTTGGGGTCCTCATCGCGCACATCATCGTCATCGCCATTACCCCCATCCTCATGACTGAGCTCTTTCCTCGAGAGGCCTTCATCTCTTTCGACAACGTTCGGCTCCCTTGCCGTACCATCTCCTCTCAGCTGCGGCGCAAGCCACTCACCGATGCATGGCCATACCTTCTGCGGGTTTTTGCTCGGCCGTGGATCAATGGCGTGGATGGCCTGGCCGAATTTGTCGATGATCTTAAGCCGTGTGAGGCGAAATTGGCCATGTGTCGCCGGCTTGAATAGTGGTTCTCCCGTAGTGGAGGCTTTCATGGACTTTCCGAACGGAGTATTGTCAGTTTCGATGCCGATACTTCGGAGTTGAGGGGCCTCGAAGCCCCCGTCTTTGCGCTCTGCCTCCTTTATGGGCACTACCTCGCCCGTACCGCCGTGACGCAGATTAGGTTTGATGTGATTGCCCTGTTGCACTGTTGTCAAATGCGCCGCCAGCCCAGCCAGTGGTGCTGACAGGAAAGACAATTGATGAAGTTCGCGAAGTAATTCCTCACGTTTGTGCTTGTCGAGCAGTCCGCTATTCTCCTTGCACTTCTCCGCGTTCTTGTCATTGTTATTTTTCTCATCTCTGTCGTCCTCCCTGTCCTTCTTATGATCTTGTTTGTCTTCGCCGAGATCACTTGCTGGAGTACTATCAAAGAGTTGTCGGATCTTAGCTTCAAGCGAGAATGATGGCTGCGGTAGGATCAGCACCCGGCCCTGAATCTTGTGCTTATCCTTATTCTTCGTTTCCTTTTCTAGATCTACCTTGTTGCCGTCGATGCCGTATCGAAGCCGCTTTGTTTTGAGAGTGCGGCTCGAGAGAGGTGCTAGCGTCCAGAGATCAAACGGCACGTGGTGATACTCGATCTCCCACTCAAGGAACAGTGGGAACCATGGCTGTGTGTTGTTCCAGTTGTCGCGCCAGGGTCCCATTTTGACCTGATCGCCGTTGCGATGCTCTTTTTTGTCGTGGAAGAGCGGTGCCTGCACGTTGTCAGGGAGCGCCGGCTCAAGATCCTCCGTCTGCGGGCGTAGCAAGACAAATTCGTCAACGAGCCGTTTAATTGCTGGTCGGAGTTCCTTCGGCAGCTTGGGAAGCACAATTGTCTCAAGCTCGCTCCATGATGGGCCATCCGTTGCATCGGGCTTTGGTATATCAGGACCTAGCTGTACTGGCTTCGGCTTCTCCAACGCTGTCACCGTCTGAGATTCAAGTCGCATGAGAAGATCATCAAGGTAATCGTACTGCCAACCAGACTGGACGCCGCCAACAAGCAAGGTCGGGTCTCGCTGCTGGTGGAAAGCAGGCCTTGCTCCCGGTTGGACAGTCCTGGGTGTCTTCTCAGGCCCAGCTAATCCATTGATCTCCGCGATGAGATCCCTTCGGCGGTTCTCAAGCTCGCCAACTCTTGTATGCAGGTCTCGCACCCGTGGACCCGTCTTGACTTCACGCTGTTTGGTGGCATCCGAGACGAGCCACCACCAAAGAGCAAACATCTCCCATCGAAGCCGGGCTGTGGTACGCTCTACGCCGTCAAGCAGTTTCTGAAGGATGTTCAGTCGCCGAAGGTTACCGAGAACAGCTGGAGGCGCGATGGGGCGATCCTTGTTTCCACCATCGCCATTCTCCTGAGCACCCGAGGCATGCCACGCTTGGCCACCATCGCCACGTAGGTAATTCCAATTATAGAGCAGATCTTTCGCCTGCTGCTGTGCTTCGACACCATCGTCCCGCGCAAGCAGGTGTCGCTCAAGGGCACCAATATACTCTTCAAGTTTGTGCGGGATGCTATCGACCGGATCTATCATGCGCATCGCCCGCGCGTACGTCGTCAGCGCGTCCAGAGGCGTCGTGCCAACAGCAACTGGCAAGCTGCTGTTGAGATGTATAGAGAAGTCATCTGCTGGGACCTTGGCCGGTTTCTTATCAACATCCCAGTTAACGTGATACATAGCGCCATGGCACAAAAGCCGCGTGTCGGCCTGTGAACCGAGCCAGTTCTTGAATTCTTTCTCCTGGTCCTTCTTGTCGGCCAACTTTATACGTAGCTTCAACAGTTCAAGACGCCGCCGTCTTTCAAGGCCTTTCCCGAGCGTTGAGCCAGCGAAGAGGTCGTCAGCGGGGGACTGAGTGC